TTATTGGTAAGTGGTCAGAATCGGGTCTATTAACTATGGAACAATCACTACACAGTTCAAAATTGTCATAACATGTTAGGACGTAAACAATTACACTGGCAAATGCAGAATTTAAGTGTATCACGCATAGAAGTGTACTTTTCCAATAAAGTATTTATGAATGAACATCTTTATTGAAATCGTAATAAAGTTACATAGAAAATCAATTGAATCAGAAATATTCGACAATTAAACTATACAAAAAACTGTGCATTATCAAAATATTGATTATTTTGTATTTTCAGGAAGCTGGTAACTTTTGTCTTTTTTGTTTCGAAACATTTATAGATTAAACTTGCTAGTTCTATCATAGTTTTAAAAAACGATGTCACAAATTAATCTGATATTAGCTTCTAGGCCACAGTCTGTTATGGAAGTTTCTATTTCATTTTTGTATAATTTACAGTTTAAAGGAAAACATATTTTATTCTCTAGTTTATTTCTATGGCAAACATGGCATTATTTGTCACTATCAATATTTGAATAGCGACCTACTTCAATGTTTAGGATGTTGGCACGTATTGTCAATTTTGTCAGAGCAGCGTGTTGATCGGGATTTGTAATTATCGTCAGATAAGCTCCAATTAAGCGGTCACCTTACATCTTCTTGTGCGTGTTAACTTGTTTTTATGATTTTTGATTTGATTATCATTATGCATCGATTGTTTATTTGTATTTTCGAAAATCCTTTTTCCCTGTAATGTTATTCAGTTGAGTGTATTAATTTTGTCTTGTAACATTGCTGTTTCTAGTTGTCGTCAATGTTAAGATATAATTTAATTAGGTGTTTGACACTTGAGACCAAATTTTTGATATTTGACTTATACGGATATGTGTCCTTGATGTTATAACGATATTCCATCATTTTGGTATCACTTTATACTTTCATTGGCGTATCTACTTTCACTAAATATTTACAGAATTCAATATGTAGTTTTGCCATGGGTTACGTAAAGTTTTTGAAAAAAGTAGTCATGCATTATAATGTCTCTGCCCAGAATGCACTGGAATAGGCTATGACTGGATTGACTAAACAGTTAAAGATTTTAAGATCGGTTTCTATGGGTATATGATTTAGTTAACTTTCAAGTTTTATGTATGTTAATTCCAAGGTAAGTATAGGAGGATACCCTTTTCAATTATTTTTCATTAATATTAAATTTAAGTTTGTTTAGGATTTTACCATATTTATTGATAATTGTTTTTCGATTTCGAGATATTTATGTCTAGTCTATACTCTTTACAGTATTTGTAAATAGAGTTTACAAAGCGTTGTAGACCTTAGTAGTAGCTGTCTTTTTCTTTATTGGTTTGGTCTTACACTGTGATAAATGTTGTTACAGTCTTGTATCGTGCTGTGATGATAATAGGTATAACTTTGTGGTTCCTGTATTGAATTTGCAGGCGGAAAAATCCATTTGTTGTTTAAAGACATCGACTATTTCATTTGGATTTATGGTGGTAATAATCTATATTGATATATTATTGGTGACGAGGCCAGCCAGAGTAATGTTTAACTTTCAACCATGATGGATGTATATGTACATTTAATTTCGAAGATTTGTTTTTTTCTTAATATTACCGTATTGCTAGATTTTTCAATCTGGTTTCAATGTTATTAGTGTTTATCATACACTCACTCCAGTGAGTGTGTTTGTTTGTTTGTTTGTTTGCATGGTACTTGATTCCAAGTCGTACCGTCTCGCGCGTGAATAGCTTTCGCTGCTGTCTGTTATATTGCCCTCAACGAACTCCCGTAGCAGAGTCACAATAGCGCAACGACAAGAAGCTGGGACAGAGTCTAGAACGCCACTTGTGTCATTGTGAGACAAAGACACGTGTGGCAAAATACGATAATAGTATAGGCTTTACTTGTACTACGTAATGTGTGCGCATGCCCTTTAAGACTTACCGCCAACGCGTTTTGCAAAACTTTCAATAAGGAAGATATCGATACCTATTCCTACCTGTTGATCACATCGTCGTCTCTGTACTTGTAGAGCAATAATGACGGATTTACCGCGACAACCCTACGTGTGTAAACTCAGTGCCACAATGCAGGAAAAGGCAAAACGAGAGCTGAATGAAGACCCCAGTACTAGGAACGCGAAAATTGACGAATTGAGAGCCAGATTTAAAAAGGAACGACCCGAAATCAAGCTACCCCCCGAAGACGCCTTCCTTGTACGTTTCCTCCGATGTAAGAAATTTGATGTCGATCGCGCCTTTAAGATGCTCGTGCATTATTACGAAGTTCGCCGAAAATACCCGGAGTTGTACAGCAACTATCGACCATCGGCGTACAGGCAAATATATGAACAAGAAATAGAGGCTATGTTACCAGCTAAAGATAAAAGTGGAAGAGCAGTGATTGTTTTTTCAATAAGTGAGTATGAGTCAAATGATCACATGACATTGGCACATGAAGTGCTATTATCATGATTTATATTTCAGTCAGTTTGACAGTGGTTGCCATGACATATACTGATAAAGGTTAATGACAAGACCAGATGGCGAGCTGGTCGAAATCAACCAAAAACATCTTATGACTCTGCAGTTTTTAAGATACAAGACAGTAGCTGTAATTCTAAACCAATGTTGTTTGCGATTTTAACTAAGGTAGTATCTTTGTGGAATGTTAGTGCGAGATTATTACCCCATCAATATTAGTTAGTGTTGACAATGTTTTCTCTAGACAGCTTGACGAGTAATTAATTGATTATGATGTGTAAAACTTTCATGTGATTGGTTGTTTGTTGGAAGGCAAGGCCTTGGAGTCTCTTATACTGATTGTAATTGGTTAAGGGGTGACAAGAAAAAAAGATGGATTTAATGCTGTCTCGGGTGAAAACCAGGGACTTGGCAGAGAATCGTTTTGGGAACATGAACGAAGCTTGTGTGTGTCTTTTGTTAGCCTAGCGTGGAAACGACCGAATCCCGGTTACCTAAGTGAATGGTTTTTAACCATCAAAAATACCTATCACACTATCATAATGATGGCAATGCACTTACAATTCCTTTATTAAAGGTCACGATACAGCAGCTGAATTGGGCGTATCGTCTCCAACACATAAATACTATGTGAAATTGCAAATACTTACTTGTCTAATTGTAGTCTAAATTTCCCACATACCAAGTCAAGCAGTCTGTGTACATTCGAGTTTTTCTTTGTTTCAATGAACTAATAAGTGCTACGAAAACATTATTATTATCCTAGCCGTATCATCCAAGATGAAAGAAAAAAGGTATATTAAGGGAAAAATGTTTGTCGTTGTTGTTGATAATTGTTAATGTGTGCACAATAACTTTACTAATTCTATTCCAAACTTCATCAAACCTAGTCACCTAATTCATCAGTATGAAATCTTTCCTTAGTGCGAACGACATATGTCCTGTGTGATCAACTAAAACAAGCTATGGATACAGTAGAGCGGTGTATGGAAGTGGTTGTTGCAAGAGAGGGCCTACAGCGGGTGCAGCAACCCTGTGAGTTTATTTCTGGGGGCCTATTGCAGACATTAGAATTGTAAAGGGAGTCTATTTGCCTCCCGCGCGGGCCGGCTTTAGAAGGTGAAAAACACCCCCTTTCCCTGCTAAATTTGGAATGCTCATGGGGTAGTAACGGCATATATATAGTGATCCCCCGGGGTGAAAATATCTTGCAATAATTGAGAAAGTAGTAGTCATAATCTGATAAAAATTTGACTGTTTCTACTTGACTGATTACTGGTGACACACATTCAAAGGTGACTCGTCCCAGTGATGTATGCGTTCAATGAAGTAAATCTATCTCAGTCAATAATACATTTATTTGTTGATGTGTGTGTTTTGCGTCGTTTGATCATTGCAATAAAAGATAGTGTTCGAGGTAAACTTCGGGAATACGCTATTTCTCTGTACAGTTACGACAGGATTGTCACGTGCCTTTTTATTTGCCTGAAATATTCATATCTTTCCTATTTACTTCAAATATTAAAGTATGATTCCTTATGATCACAATAACAATAGTTGCTAACTTCACAGTAACATGCCCATTTTATTTCATCAGGTAAATGGGACCCTGACAGATATGATCCAGACTTGATTACGGCTGCATTTTCGATTGCGATGGAAAAAATAATCGAGGACGAAGAAGTCCAAGTGAACGGTGTTGTGTTTGTAGGTGACTACGAAGGGTTGACAATGAGACATATTTTAAAAATGGGACCAACACAGGCCAAAAAACAGATGGATTGCATGATGGTTAGTCACGTGATATTAAATATTTAAGAATTGTGGTGGGTTTATGTTATTTGTTTGTATGGATGGATGAAGACAATGGTACATTTCATATGAATAATTAAATATATTGTTTGTTTGTTTCCTCAATTCAGAACTCCAATCCCATGAGATTCAAAGCAAATCACATTATAAGGCAGCCCGAGATAATGGACACCTTGTTTTTAATATTTAAGCCATTCATGTCAGCAAAGTTGATTGAAAGGGTAAGTGATACTGTTTGTCTTTGGTTGCAATGGGAGCTGTCTTACCCAGACCAGCAACTTTGCTAGGGCAAACATTCCCGCTATATGTGATAACCGATCCTGCTATGGGAGCCTTCACTGTCATGACAGCAGTATCTTTTATGAGTGATATTCCTGCTTTGGGAGCCTTCACTGTCATGACAT